CACCAAATACCTAGGAGTCACCATACATAGTATTCTAAACATAGTATTCCTCTCATGTGCTAGCCTGTGTTGATAGATTGCGTCGCTTATCCTTCCAAATACGCAAGCTACGACAATTTCGAGTGAAGCATGAAACTATATGTTCCTTTGTTTATCAATGCGTTTTTCCTCTCATACTTTATTGCTTACCCGTTATTTTCCCTGGACTACTCAAAAAGGATTTCAATAAGCGTCGTCGCGGTTTAGTAATTATCAGCCGTGTTTATCTTATTCCTTTAAACACTCCAATCAAAATATTGTGTGATTTTCATATGTGATAATTTCGCTCATAAGATACTTGATGACCCCAGTCATCCGCTCAATCCCGATTTATCTGCTTGCCATTCCCACGCTACAACCCGATCCAATCTTCGCTGCTTACCCTCTCGCATAAACATTAATCGGAACTCAACGGTTCCCTATCTGGCTCTTATTCTCACTGACACGGGAAAGATCCGCAACGAACTAATTTTAGACCTTCAAAGGTGAACACCTATCTAAGTTTTATCATTGTTGTATATGAATTTTCATTTCATTTTTTGTCCCACTGTAACGATGAACACATTTTTTGACTGAAATGTAGGCACAATTACCTGCACAGGTCATTTATATTAAAATAAAATACAATACTCCAGGGGCAAGCGTGGATAGTCAAGGGAAGCCAGGAGTTCCCCAAGCAGCTGGCATTGTGAGACTGAGTATCGTCTGGCCTCTACTCGTTGACCTTTTAGGCCCTATTGGATCTGCGCCTGTGAGGAGCCATACTGTATACCTCGCAGGGTCATATGGACACGCAAACCAACACATCACGTCAAGGTGCAGTCTCGTCGTGATGACACCAAATCAACTTTAACAATGAATGAATAATTCTTTTCGATTATTCATTCTCAAGCTTCTACATTGATATAAGATCACAAGGTTGCAACAGAAGATTACCTCTGTAGGTAAATAGCGCAGAATCAGATACACATCGCAATCCCGATATCATAGCTGAGAGAACTACTTTTGCATTGTCGACTGAACGTTCAATTCGGATGCAATGGACACATGTACCACCAAGTCGACTGTGTGATAATGGGTTCACCACATGACCCATCACCAACAGACAGCTTTATGGCTACGTTGGAAAACCATGAACTAAAAACAGGATTGCTGAAATGATTACTTATTGTCGCTACGTTTATGATATGTATCTTTATGATTATAAATGCAGCAATCAACGTGTCGTAACTTTTGTTGATATTTGGAAAAGCACATCAGTCGAGGTATTTTACCTTGGACGCCGAACTAAAACCATTCTACTCGTCCTATCCAGTTATTGTTCAGAGACTTGAAGAACAACTGCTACTGCCAGCCATTTCTGTGTTTATCACTTCATGCGCTCCCGGNAACGGTCGTTTCAGTCGCAGTTGATCAAGCGGATTCCAGAGTATCATCCAGCCTAGTTGAGAAAAGAACTAACGAAGGACATTCGTAACTCAATTGTGGAGCATCTGATCAACACGGAGCATCCGGTAGATGTCGAAAGATCATTTAAGGTCATCTACAGAACCCCAATGAATCCGCCTAAAAAGCTGAAGTCGAGGCGTCAACTATTCGGATCCCTGAACCCGATCTCTCCAAATAAAGGCAGATTATTCAGATAGTGAGTTTACCATGGACCAACAATATGACGTAATCGACCGCTGTTCAAAAAATCAAATGATGACTGAATGACCGTGTTAAGTAATCAGTTTATTCTGGAAACTACCGCCTTACTAGTGTTGTGAGTAAAATAATGGAACGACTGGTGGCTTCACGGCTTCGGCAGCATTTAGCGTGCCACTGTCACCTGTGCCACCAACAACACGGTTTCCCTCCGGGTCGCTCATGGCTCTCAAACCTGCTCCTAGCCCTTGAGTAGTGGACCGAGGACCAGACCAAAGGACGCGAAACGGACATCATCTTCGTGGACTTCAGCAAGGCCTTCGACAAAGTGCCACACAACCGTATTCTGCGAAAGCTGTCCAACCTTGGCGTAGGTGGGGTCATGCAGAATTGGCTTCGAAACTTCTTTATCGACAGGGAATTCTGCGTCCGTGTTGGAAGATCTCTATCTACTTGGCATTCCGCCTCCAGTGGGGTAACGCAAGGCTCTGTTTTTGGTTCACTTCTTTGTTCCTTTGTCTCAACGGCCTTCCCGGTCAGCTGCGCAGCCTATCGCTCATGCATGCGGATGACATCAAAGTCTGGCGTGTAATCGAGGGTGCGGAGGATTGGAGTGCTCTTTAAGCGGATCTGAACAACCTGCCTCAGTGGGCAGACACCTCTGCACTTCCGGTCAACACCGCAAAGTGTGCTCAGCTGCACCTGGGCCGTGCCGATTCAGAGGTGGTTCACAACTTCCAGGGAACCACATTGCGCAGAACATTGTGCGAAAAAAACCTGGGAGATCTTTCAGTCGATTTACGACGGACGCTTTCAGACTGCTGTACGCTTCCCACGTCAGACCGAGACTTGAGTATGGTAGTATGGTGACATACCCTGCACGGCCGGTGAACAGGTTAAGTTAGAGCGTGCACAACGTGCTGCCACTAGACTGGTTGTTG